TTTATTTTATTTTTTTTTTTTTCCTCTCTCTCTCTCGAGAGACAATATCTAAACGGGTTACGTATGCCATGTTTGTCGAGTAGGGAGAGTTGATGCTACATACGACTCTAACATAGCATAATACTTTATGAGTTCCATTTTCAACAAGAAAGCAAGGATTCCACCAAAAACTGCGAGAGCGAAATCCCAATAATTCATTTTGCGATGTTTATGGGGGGCACGATGGTTGTACTTAGAGTTAAAGTTTGTTGGCAATTTAGGTTGGGAGGGATTTTTTTTTTTTTTTTTTCGTAGAAAGGTGCTGCTTTCGATAAGCAAATTTGAATTTTGAACAAAAAGGTTTCTCTGATAACCATAAAAAATATTAGAGCAAATAGTCATTGACAAAATTTCTATTGGAAATCGTTGATGGTATAACGATTGACAATTTTGATTGAAAACAATATATACTGGTTAATGAGACAGAATTACCGATTGCGATACCTTTGTCGGCGATTCTTGACAACAATATCGTTAATGATATTGTTGAAAATTACTTACGATGATTCAGTTATCGATGCATATGATTGTTGGAGATTTTGATAGAAATCAAAATATGTCGGTGATTCAAACAGAATTATTGATAGTGATATCATTAGTTAGTGCCGACACACCTTAATCAGTAAATACCGACTATAATTCGTCGGTGATTCTGAAGAGAATTAACAATGGCATTCTCATTCTTTCTTTATAATATAAGCAACATATAATTTATTTAACTTTTATTTTTCTCCCAACAAAGTATATATTTATTGATTTTCTTTGGTTAATTAAATTTGTAAACTATTTAATTTTACTAACTAAAAGTTGGTTTGTAACCTTTAATTATTTTTTGAAGAATATGACATAATTTTTCTTAAGAAAAACTTAGGCAAAAATAGAAAATCTTAAAAATTGGGAGTCTCCGTAAATAGGGGACTAAATTGCCTAACTTTCCTAACTCTTAAACCAACTTTGAATAAATATAAAGCTAAGAAAAATGTATTATACACCTGTTTGCTAAATCAAAGTCAATAATTAATCAGGATATTTCCTGGAAAGCAGAAGTTCCTTGAAAGGCAAGACGTATACATGAGTTTCACTCGCTCGACACTTTGACAGTTCAATTGGGGGCTCTTAAACCCTAGCCAATTTGGGACACAACCCGCGATTTACCTGGTCTGCGTGAAGAGAGGTTGGATCGTAAACCCCAGGATTAGTCGCTGTAAGGTGGACACCTGGGTATCCAAAAAAAAAAAAGTCAATAATTAATTTTAAACTGCATATTTGACAAGACTCATAATTTTTCAACTACAAATTTCTTCAAATTTACTTAAAATCTGATATTAATCCCCATTAAACACGGACTATATATGCATCTGTGTTCCTGGAGGATTAAGGTAGTTCAAACTAAAAAATACAACAACAAAAACTATGTTCAATAAAGATGAAATAACATTTTATCCAGTCTCGTATAGGAACCTCCTGAAACTCCCACCAAATGAAAAGTGATTTTTATTCTTTGGCCTTGTCCCATTTTGCATCTAATCTTGCGTTGGGAAAGCTGCATAATTCGTGCTTCTGCCGTTGAATCCTCTTAGCTGTTTGAGGACTCGGATGTGTTCCCATTGCTACATTTTTCTGAGCATATAAGACGATTGAACTTATAGATAGGATCGAAGATCATCACTCGGAGAGTTAAGAATTTCAGGGAAGGGTGGGGGCAACAGAAGGAACTTAACCATCAAATAAAGGAAAAGGTGATAAATGGTGGATTACTCTCTAGTGATTTTCGCCCTATTAACCCGAGGGAGTGATCACGATTAATACACATGGCAATACTTAGAAAAACCAAAGGACTACTCTCTCTCTCTCTCTCTCCCCCGTGGTGGGGTATTAGTGTTAAAAGTGTGATTCAAATAGGATTAGATTTCTTACCTTTTTTGGAACTCTTTTAGAGCTAGATTTTATACTATAAATATAAGGTTCCTCTGTCAATTTTATTAAAGCCATTATTGCTGTAATTATCTTCTTTCATTGATTGAATAAAATAACATCGTTCCTCTGTCAGTTCTTTTATTTCTTTACTTTAATCTTATTCTTGGATTATTCGTGATATTGTTAATTACTTCAATTACAACAAGTTGTATTCATTAAATCTCAATTCCTACATTATTGGTCAATCAGTCTCAACAAGTGGTATCAGAGCGAGGTTATTGGTGAATTTTTTGCCTGAAACTGATCGAAAAATCGTCTGAAAATTACCAGAAAATCAGAAAACGAATCTGTCCAATTTTTCGATTTTTTGCCAAATCTGGTTTTGCTTTTTCTGGTCAAACCAGAAAGAATTTGGAGAAATGAACACCACCAGTAGACTCAGCAGGCAGAAACGGTCTAGAAAGGGTCACAGGTCGTCAGCATGTTTTCCGACCTATTGCCGACGGTGGTAACTCCGGCGAGCGAGTGGCGGCGCGTGAGGAGTTTTTCGGAGACAGTGTCTTCAGGCAGTTTTCTCCGGACGACGAGACGGACCTTGTGGTGGTGTCCAATTTCTGTTTTGGGCTAAATTGTGGTTCTGGACTATTTTGCCCCTTGCACGTTCGATAGTTTTCAGTTTTGGGTATTGCAGGTTGCAAGTTCTTCGTGATTTGATTGAGATTTTTTAGAGATGAATTCGTTGAAGTATGAAATTCCGCTATTGGATCGCAATACAAGATTTTCGCTGTGGCAAGTAAAGGTGAGAGCTGTGTTGACGCAGATGGATCTTGATGATGCTTTGTTGGGTTTTGATAGGATGCCAGCAAGCTTGTCTATGAAGGAGAAACAACAGAAGGATCGGATGGCTTTAGCGCAAATCCAACTTCATTTATCCAACAATTTGCTGCAAGATGTTTTGAAGGAGAAGACAGCTGCTGCTTTGTGGCTCAATCTGGAGTAGTTATTCATGACAAAGAGTTTGACGAGCAAACTGACTCTAAAGCAGAGGTTGTATTCTCATCGCATG